AATATATTGGCAGACTAACAGTATGGTTAAAATTGAGGTACTTTGGCATTTATTTAAATTATTCTTCTGTTCTCATGAGCATTGAAATTTATTTCACTCACTAGCGGGAACCATTGCGAATACATTGATATATAATAATATTCAATTATGTTAGTTTCTTCGACGATTTGTGTCCTCATCTGAAGCTCTGTTACATGGTAAAAATATACATACTAAATCGCCCTTAAAGAAAACTACTAAAAAAAATTTTTCACGATTGAATTGTTAATAACTTTTTTCCCGATAAAATACTTTGTCAGCAAATTAGCCTGTTATTGTACTCATCATTTAAACTATTCCTGTGTAGTTATTTCCGAGTTATCAAGGAAATGTCATAAACAGTAACTTTTCGGCCTCTGCCGACTGGACTAGTATACGACTTTTCTATTACAAATATCATCAGGAAGCTGTAGTTTAATTTTTATAGATTATACACGCTACACCCTGTATATTTTACCATTTTAAAAGATAAATGTAATCGTAGTTCCAAAGAAATAGATTTATTATATATGGTTGTTGTGGCTTTAGAAGATACAAATGAAATTACTGAAGCACTTAAGTAATTTAATTAGAGCAGACTCGAAACCAACTAGGTAATTTCTGAAAACATTCTCAATGTTTTTGTTTAATTTCCTTCTAATTTCATATTTCAGCTGCCGGCTCGAATGTAACGGGGGGTTTGAGGCATACATTTACATATAAATTCGAAAACTTCCAACTCGCCTTGTGTGCCGCTAAACTTCCCCGGCATCTGAAGAAATCAAGCCGGTTCGTTTACCTGCTGTATACTTTTTAATTATTTAAATGAACGGGCGGTTTATTCTTCTGCATTAAACATGTCGCAGACGGGGCAGAGGCTCTTCCTGCCGCTTTCCTGCTGAAACGGCAGCTCGACGTCCTGTCGGCGCGTCGCTACTGCGTAACTCCGGCGCCCGCCGCCAGAGGGATCCCTTCGGGCGCAGGAGCTAACTTCGCGCATTGATTCTGTGGGCATCGTCCTCGGCGAGTTTTCGCCACTCCAACCTCCGACAGTGTGTTTCGAGGCCTCATCGAAAGCGCCTTGATACTGTTCCCTGCTCTCCAGCATAAACAAAACACTGAGTATCATCAAATACAGTAAAAGTTCGCGCCCGAGGCATGCTGACCCTCCGGGCGATCTGAACAGTCCTGGTGGCGAGAGATCGAAATAAATGTTATGATTGGTTGAGCTTTTTATTTTTTCTAAATTTGTGACTGTGTGACTGTGGTTATTTTGTTTTGTGGCTGTTTTTAGTGGCGCTGACTGTCGAGGGGATTCGTCTCCGCAATATTTACCACCGTGGCTGGTGAGTAAATGGATGGCTATTTTTAGAACGAAATAATTATGTTTCAGACAGAGTCACAACACCACACGCAGACACAGAGTTGATCACGATGTACCTAGTGGTGCAACTCGCTCTTTTACAATTTTACATCACACTGTACAAACTATTTCGACGGAGTTTAGAAAACTAAAAAAACTAGAAGTAATTTAACGCTCTTCTTTTGTGGAGTCGCTCACAATGTACCTAGTGATGCAACTCACTGTTTCAACTTTTAACATTACACTTTACAAGTTAGTTCTAAGTAATTTAAGAATTTAGAGTAACCAGAAATGCTTTATTTAGACATAATTTAAAATATATCCAGCAGTTCATTTTTGTGAAGATGCTCACAATTTTCATTTTTTACACCAAATTCTGTTATAGGGAATGTTACTACCAAACTTGATTTTAGTTATATGTAATCAGTAGTAGGGAATAAGGAGAAATTTCAACCAAACAACATTTTAATTCACATTTCGTAGCAAATGGGTCAAATCTCAAGGGTGCTTTTCTTGGGAGAAAACAAGTCAATTTTTAGTACAATTTTGCTTTCTCAGAAAGTAATTAGCCTTCAAATGTCTTTTTTATTGCATTTGTTTAAGATAATTTCGTGACTGTTATAGATATTTTGATGTGAAGGAGTTTCCACAACAGTCGAACATGAATATGAGCCGTTTTCTTTATATAAAAATCGTACAGGGTAATAGGAATATGTGTATTAAACAGTCTTATATTTTTTGACATATATTTTTATTTATCGTAAAAGATATGCCTGTTACATATTGCTAAAACCCAGATAAAATTATTTTACCGCGGTTCTCATTTAGTGACAGCCGACTATTTGGGGGTATTCTAATAAAATTTATCTTCACTATTTTAATAAATTCGTAGATAAATATTTTTTACGATTTAGATGAGCCAACCTTTATTAAAAAGTTAATGTCTACTCTGATATAGATTTTTAAATGCCTGACTTTTGATTGTGGGTAAGTTGGTTTAAATTGTAATACAATTTAACTCGGTTACAAATTTATCAACAAAACTGAAGATTAATTAGACTAAAATCTCCTCATACACTCGGCTGTTATTAACTGAAATCCATTTTTTGCAATCATGGAATTTTGCGACACGCCTATCTTTTTAAAAATATATAAAGTGGTAAAAGAAAAAATATATGAGTTTTCTCAAAATCCCTATCAATAAAAAAATATGGCAGCAAATAAAATCTGCTTAAGATATTTTTTAGCGATTTCTCTATTTCAGGTAAAGAATAAGCTCAAGGCCATATTTGGCTATCCTAAAACACCTTTATGTTAAATTTTATTAAATTAAAATTTGAAGTGACGGAGTTATTTTTAAAAATTAAAAATATTTGTTTTTCTTGGAGGCCCACAATGTTTCAACGAGACAAAATTGTATTAAGGTATCTTGAGTAGTATGGCCTATTTGCTCACGGATATTCTGTATGAGTTGCGCGTGCCAGATTTTTAGTTGCCCTGAAAATGTCACAATACATATAGTGACGAATCAACAAATAAAAATTGTGTGTTTTCTTTGAAATTTTGCGGACTGTTTACTGTAAACTATTTTAACGAATGAAATGATTTGAAATATAAAAAATAACCATAAGTATTTCAGGACTCGAATTGATGTAAGCACATATTTCACCCTATAAATTAAATAAACTTGCAATAAAGCTAAATGTCGTGAAATTTGGAGATTGTAAGTAAGCTCGTCTATATCAACAAATACAAATATTCTAAAAGTAACCAAATAACTGCTTTGTTAAAATACATATATCAACCAAGTTAAGGCAAAATAAAAAATGTCCTACATTTAACCATTTTTTAAAATGTAAACAAAATTATCAAAAATCATTTCATCATTTCATTTATTATCATTTTTAACAATACTTGAAATTGTAGGTATATACAGGGTATAAGGCATTCAAAATTAATGACAGGTTTTAACTTCTCTAAGATTTCAACAAGAAAAAACAGTTGAGCAAAACCCACAAGTAACTAATATTTTATTCCGTTCATAAATAATGTAATAACTTCAGGCCACAGACTCCACAAAAGTCTTTTTTACGAAGACGAAAGGTTTTAAACATTTAATAGCTGAACTATTTAGAGTTTACTGGAGCAATAACTTTATTTTATGACACCTGGCTATTTTCAAGGGCAACGGAAAGCGACGAACAGAAAGCAATAGAAGATGGGCTGACTAATAACAAAATTTAACTTACTTCTCTAGAAAACAACTGACACTTTATTTGATTGAGATGAACTATACGTAAAAACTGCACTTTGTTGAAAAGATTGTATCTGTTTTCATTATTTCTGATTTTAAATGTGACAAATTAGTTGTAAAAGTTTACTTTGAAATTCCATCTAAACCATCATTTTCAGTAATATTTTTAAGTGTTAAATCACTACCTTTTGACAATATAAATACTAATAATACCTAAGTTGAGCATTCTACTTTCCAATAATGTATCATTATTATTTATTTGTGGTGTTTAAAAATGTCTAGACTACATCGATTTTCTACATTTTGCTCTGCAAGGTGTGCTCACCATAAACTATTATCTTTGTTAAAAAAATCACTTTTATCAAATATTAACTAGCAAAACTACCTTGAAACTACGCCCCTTTACTTAAAAAAAGTGTGGCATGCACACACACTTATGGACAATTAAATTCTAAAGCTGCTTACTAAATCTGAATGCAAGCGCTTGAGCCGTTTTCTTGCAATTTATTAACCCGATTGGAGCATATATTTATACTAAATATTTTTTCTCTTTAATATGACGAAGAATCCGTAATTAGTTTGACCAAACATATTATTTACACCCTATACAGGCTGTTACAAATTCGCTTCTCATTACAGGGATTTCGGAAACGGTAAGAGATACGAAGTAGCAAAGTTGCATAATTAGGGGACCAACATTATGCCTCTAAAAAGTCAAGGCTAACATGATTAGTTTTCAAAAAATTTGAAAAAAACGAAATTTCGGAAATCTGTTTTTAATTCATTTCAGCCTTGTTTGGGGCGATATTGAAAAAATAACACTTTCTCATGGCAACTTTTTACCCTCTTACCGTTTCTGAGATCCTTGTAGTGAGAAGCAAATTTGTAACAACCTGTATAAGCCCCAAAAACAAATTTAGAATCATAATTTATGTGATACACTTTTTTTACGAATTTCTCCGGACATGTTGAATTTTTTTACGATTATCCAGCGAATACAAAAGCAATAACCTGCCCCCGGCTATACGCAAAAGAACAAGGGTCGTACATAATTTGAGTTATTAGGTACAACAATAGCCGTAGGCGTCCGGCTTTTATTTTCTGCGCTAACGTAAATTTTCCGTAATCCGATTTTTGCAGCGTAAAACTCTTTCAATTGAACGTTATTCTGTTCTCCGGGCCTTTTTGCTTCGTGCCGGACAAAATCGATTGCAGTTCATATCAGAGGAAACATTTGGCCTGCCGCCAAAACTCACTGACAGCTTTAAATTTACTCTTTTAACTGTTCTATACGGAACGAATATTTGATGCCTAACACAAATTCCTGTTCCGGTTACAATTGACAATACCATCACCGACTGCGGTATATGTATTTCGGCGTGAAAGGGGGTATATGCCAACTATTTTTTCACCGACTGTAAAGGTACAGATAGAGGATTCTTTCCGAAAATATACTACCGAAATATGCTATTTTGTTAAAAATAGCGATTTTAGCTTTATTCATATTTCGTTATGTGACAGTTTTCTTCCAACGGTTTATCGCCATTAAAATGTTATGATTTCACGTGGTCACATTTTCCTTTGATGTTTACGAACATCATAGGAGTTCAACATTTTATGAAAGTATTAACAGGCCGTATTTATGTTTATTAAATATTNTGAAGTTTTTGCAATTTTGATGGTAGCAAGCAAGGAGGAGGTAAGGAATTGTGTAGAGGAGAAGATTTTTATCTGCTCCGACAGTCAGGCCGCGCTCAGAGCGGTTAGCTCCGCGAGGACTAGGTCTGCCCTTGTCCAGGGATGTGAAGAGGCTCTAGAGTCATTGGCCAGACGAAGAGAGGTAGAGTTGGTTTGGGTCCCAGGCCATATGGGTATCCCTGGTAATGAGAGGGCTGATCAACTAGCGGATCCAGGGGATCTGGCCAGGGACCTGAACCATTCTTAGGTATCACACGAGGCAGCATCAATGGGGCCCTCAATAAATGGACCTACCAAACTTTAGGTCAGAATTGGAGGAGAAATAGAGGAAGTAGGCAGGCCCATGTAGGAATTGAGGAGGACCTCTCTGCCCGAAATGTGGAGAAGGCGAGGACACCCTTGTCCACCTTCTGGAACATTGTGCAGTCTTTGGGAGAATAAGACAAAAGACAATAAGTCTTTGGTCCTGAAGAGCTGCAAGGAGTTGAGATGAGAGACCTTCCATGGACCAAAATCCTGGCGTTTATTAGGGCGTTGGGTAGGTNTGCTACACAGATGGATTTCGGGTAGAAGACGAGTTTTCAGGAGCAGGAAATTATCTGGAAGGCAGCGGCATCCAGGAAAGCTTTTCACTGGTATGCTACAGTCTTCCAGGCCGAAGTTTTTGCAATTTTGATGGTAGCAAGCAAGGAGGAGGTAAGGAATTGTGTAGAGGAGAAGATTTTTATCTGCTCCGACAGTCAGGCCGCGCTCAGAGCGGTTAGCTCCGCGAGGACTAGGTCTGCCCTTGTCCAGGGATGTGAAGAGGCTCTAGAGTCATTGGCCAGACGAAGAGAGGTAGAGTTGGTTTGGGTCCCAGGCCATATGGGTATCCCTGGTAATGAGAGGGCTGATCAACTAGCGGATCCAGGGGATCTGGCCAGGGACCTGAACGAATCTTAGGTATCACACGAGGCAGCATCAATGGGGCCCTCAATAAATGGACCTACCAAACTTTAGGTCAGAATTGGAGGAGAAATAGAGGAAGTAGG